CAATGATCTTTCATTTAAGACTGTGCGGGACATTGACCGGGGGTGAGTGTAATCTTTTTGAGCCTGCAAGTTTTACCACTTCACTTACAAATTATTTAGCATCCATTTACCTATGGTCCATTTCTGGGCAAACAAAAAGGTACCCTTGCAGTGGGGCTATACCCACACTGCAAGGTTTAAATGCTTGTTTTTGTCTAGGGGACTGGAATAAAACAGATGTACTTACCTGATGGCTGCTCCCTCAGGGCTGCTAGATCGGTCCCTGAATCAGGGCAGTCTTTAATACTGATTGGACCCTGGGCAAACAATTTCTTGCTGCCCTAACAGCATACGGTAGTTCCGCCACTGCTTATGTGGGCTGAAGTGGCAGCTGCTTTGGGCCCCACAACAATGATTGGGCCCTGGGCGACTGCCCCTTTTGCCCTGCATTAAAGACGGCCCTGCCCTGAATCTCTTACTCCCCTAAGGACTGCTGATGTCGTCACGTCTAATGCAGATTCCATAGAATGAAGTCTTCAGCCACTTAATTGGCCCCACCCAGATAGTGTAAATCCCGGGCACAAGAGTTACTTTGTCTTGGCGCATGCAGGGCTCGGTGTACACAAACAAACAAAAAAGTGCTGACAGGCAGGAAAAATGATCTCACACAGTCTCTTCTGTCATAATAGGCCTACTTGTCAGCACATTTCAAATATATTACTTTACTACCACTTTAATGCTGGTCTTCAGATGACTTCATGGTTTGCAACTTCCTTCTCATGTTCCAAAGTACATATTTAAAGCTTGGAGAGAGGCTGGTGCTTGACTAAGGGAAGATCTGGCTTCTTTAATTGAAGGTTGAGGCTCATGGCAGTTCAAGTAACAGGGATAGAAAAAACTAGGGATTCATTCAGCTAGGTGGAGAAGATGAATACCTAAGCGAGAACCACAGCCACCTACCAAATAGGCTCTGTCCCCTGAACAATTTTTATTGACTGGTTCTTGCTTTTAACTACTTTTAAGCCATCCAACTGCACTCCGGGTTTGAACACACCTTAATGCGTGGACCTCACTTCCATGTCCAGAAGCTACCAGCTGGGAAAAACTGGCCTCCAGAACATCACACTCAAAGGGAGCAGAACAGACAAGACTAAAACCTATGGTTTATTCAAAATAGGAGGCAATCTACATCTCTGGCCATTTCAAGGACTCTGAATCCTCTTTAGTTTTGAAGTCACACCTGCTATTAGAAGTTGTCCAGTGGCGTCCAAATTGGTAGACCTGATGAAGGAAGAATCCCTTACATGTAGAAGGAACCACCTACTCTGGAAATCTGAAATGTGGCCCATGAGACAAGAATTCGCCCATGACCGTAACCTCCCGAACATGGGAAATAAAAGTTCTTATCAGCTCCATGATTGGAAGACATGAGTGAGCAGGTCAGAAACTACCTAATCTTCCTAGGCAGACAAGTTGGTCTGTCTCTGAGCCAGAAGGGTGATAGTGATGAATCAGAGCCCTGGTAGTTCGGGTAACAGCCCGTACTCGTCCCAGCTGACCAAACACGTCAGGCAGTCCCACCACCTAGGATGGTTACTGATGGAGACCAGACACCACTGTTGGCCTTAAGTCCCAAGGAAAACAAAAGATAGCACTGGGGGAGAGGGCAGTGGCAAGGGTGGGACACACACAACTCCTGAGGTCAAGCTGACTTCCCGTCAGTGACATCAGTGGAAGGGCATGTGAGCCCTAGAAATAGATGTGTAGAGAGCTGGGACTGTTGGTGAGGACAGTGTGTATGAAAGTATGATCTTGTGTGCACAACCTGAAAATGTACTTATTTTGTGAGTGTGATTTTTATCTGTTTAATGCAGTTTAATAACATTTGAAGCAGTTTTACAGTATTGGCTCTTTCTGTATTCTTTCTCCTCTGAGTGTTATGTGGGGACCCATGCGGTAAGCGATGCAAAGTGGTGTGAAGTGGGGACATCAGACAAGTCCTTCCATAAGGGCACAAGCGCTGTATGGCCTTGCTGATATGTTAGTTTAGCTCAACATAACAAATCGAGTGCCATTCTTGAGGAATGTGAGTAACACTGGACGGTCACAGAGCACTTAATGTTTATAAAGAGGTTTTTAAGTGCACATAGTTTGTGAGGATTTGGAACTTTAATATTGCATTCAACTAGAGTGAGCACTGGGAATATTTTTGGATTACCTTGGACTTGCATTATTCTACTCCACTAGAGGGATCATGGTGGACATCATTGGACTATTGCACTATGAGGATTTATGTGTTAACACTGAAGTAACACAGTTTGTGGACATAATGCATTGTTTTGGTCTCATGTCACAGTATTTCATTCACATTGATGTATGTATAAGTCAGTAACACAGTGCTAATTTAGTCTCTACAGTTTTGTATTATTAGGGGTATTTTATTAAGTTATTTTTAGCACCACACCTTTTGTCATAATTATATTCAAAATTAGTGGGGGTTGCTATTGGTTAGTGAGATTTAGGCAGTGCAAAAGGATCTCTTACAAGTTTTCTAGGTAATAAAACCATGTAACAATGGGGACTGCTGTGTTAATGCTATTGACAGACTGTATAATATATGTAATGTTTGTTTTTGTTCAAAATTCTACATAAAAGTGTACTTTAGGCATGCTGACCCCCTTCATGACCAGTGACGTACAGCTCACGTCACTGGCATCGGGCCCGTTTAAACAGACTCCGCCGGGATTCTGTTTACATTTGTAAAGCCAACTCTTGGCTTTACAATAGAAGCGATTCTTGCGACTCAGCTGTCGCCAGATTGCTTCTACGGGCCGGTAAATGGGACACCCCTGCCATGTTTCCCGGGCTCCGCTGCCCCTCCTATGGGCCTGGGACTGGTTTCTCAAGTGTCGGCGGGAAGCTGGGGAGGAGAGCGGCAAACCGCCGTTCACCGATCTCCTCCCCGTACGATGCAGATTACATCACTTCCGGTCCCTGAGCTGTCATTGCTCGGCTCCTGAAGCCCAGCAATAAGCTATTGAAGTGCGATCTGCACTTCAATTGCTTATTTCAAGTGGATAGGTGATACTAGGGGTCTTTTGGACCCCTAGCTTGTAAGCCCCGCTATGTGATAGCAATTAAAGTTAAGTGAAAAAAAACCCCCAAAAATTAGTTTTTAAAATTAATATTAAATAAATGATAAATGTAAAAATAATGTAAAACATTTTTTAAAGTCCCCCGCGAGCACGCGTGTCTTCACGTAAACAAGCGTCAGGTGCACCTACGTATGAAAACGACAATCGCGCTACACATGTTGGGTATCGCCGTGCACGCCGGAGTAAGAGCAAGAATTATAGGGCCAATATTTACGCGTATCTCTAAACTGATGACCTGTGGGGGCTTTTGAAGCGTCATCTATGGACTTTTTGGGGTACTGAATTTTGTCGCAGTTTCACGGATGCACACAAATTTTAACCTGGGCATGTTGGGTATCTATTTACTCATCATAACCTCATCTTTTATATTTTATTTTAAAGATAGGTATTAATTGTGTTTTGGGGCATTTAAGTACATTTTTCAGAATAGTTTGTGGTTTGATAAGGAGTTGCGCTAATATCGTGCAACATAAAAGTTTGCAGTTGCCACCATTTTATTCTATAGGGTCTTGGCTTTCAGAAAATATATAATGTTTAGGGGTTTTAAGTAACTTTCAGGCCTTAGGCTGGGTTCACACCTGGGCGTATTTTTTCTGCTCGTTTTTTCACGTTTTTTAGCACGTTTTTCCGTTCAGTGAAACGCACGTTTCATTGGCGGTATGATTTTGTTTGTTACCTTGTTTTCTCTATTTAAATTTTTTTTTCACTTTCAAAATTCCCGCCGGCTCCGCCCCCCCCTGCGACGCGGCCGCTCGCAAGGGACGGAACCCTCAGGTGGGAACCATGCCAATAGGAAAGTATGGGAATTCACTTGCTGGGCGTTTTACAGCGCGTCGATCAGTGCTGCAAAACGCCCAGGTGTGAACCAGGCCTAAAATGTAGATTATAACATGTAAACAAAAACTGAAAAAAGTCATGAAGGGGTTAAGGGACATTCAAGCTAATTATCTTTTGTGATTTTAGCATGCTTAAAGTGTTATTTGGAATGCCCTAAGCGATAACGCAGCTTGATGAGGTTAGTGAGGTTATCATACATTGCCTTTGCAGGTTAGTAACCACATATTGTCTGAAGCTTTAATAATATCAGAAAGCGGGATGTATACGCTGTACATGCTTAAGATGCAAAAAAAATGCAATAAAAATATAAGTAGGTCTGAGTGTGTGCAGATTAATTTGGCTCCACAAGAATACATATATTTTATCAGGCATAATAAGTTTCAATTAAACACTGATATTGGAGAAATATGAAAGCTGGAATTACAGATCGCCTTTTTGAAATGCTAGTTTCCGGGCTGTCAGGCTGCCCTATTGACTTCAATTACTTCCAAGCCACTGAAGAGGAACAATAAGTACTTATCTGCATGCTTGTTCTGGATTTCAAAGTTTTTATTGGTTAGCATGCTTGTTCTGGATCAGTGACTATAAATTACTGACAAAGGTGGTCAGCATGACAGGCAAGCAACTAGCATTTTCAGAAGGAAAGATCTGCAACTTTAATTTGAATGCAGAGAAGTACTAAATAGGTTTTCTTTTTGTATTTTCCCCACAAGCCTGGATGTCACAGTTATTGCACCCTGCACCTAATAATAAACCTAAATACACCTAGAAATGTATCCTATAAGCAAACCTATAGTATTTGTATTTTCCATCCTTTGTAACCCTTGTCACATACAACAACAATCTCTGGAAAAAAGACGGACACAGACACGGGGTAATGATAGTTAATCAGATAAAGAAGGGGGCTGTGGCTGAGGAGAGAATAGTCATAAAACTATTTGGTTGTGATTTAGAATACAGAGCTCCACATTTATTCCGTTACACATAGATATAAATAAAACCAATAACGCAGGTCGGAACAAGGCAACACATTTTATTCCAAAAAGGCCATCTTGGATGCCAGAAACGTACTGTAAAAATTATTGGGAAAAAAAATGAACAGTATTGTACCATATCATCATATACATCTTTTATACAATAATTACACATTTCAGACAAACTCCCATTTAGGAAGATTAGTAGTTCATTTGCCCAGGGATCTGCATATTCACACCCCCATAGTCCATCATGTACATAGGCCACTGCTGCAACAACAAAAATAAAAACAAAAGTCATGTTATAAGGTGAGAAATTGGGTTTTTTGTAACATCTCACTAATTTTTTTCTGGATACATAGCAGTATAGCTGCCCCAATAAAATTGTTATCTATGCTTTTCATACATAGAGGGCAATACGTAGTACAACTTGGCGCAAGACAATAAAGCAATCACATTGGCATAACGAATGAATTGCGAATGGTAATCTGTAATGATTTATAGGGCGTTTGCCAAAACACTAGTGATCATGGCACTTCCTGATACAGAAAACAGATTTCAGGTGTTGCTTCTCTGATTTGGTTCATTCTCCAAATGTGAAGCTGTGCAGTGTGCAGTCCCAGTTGCCAAAGATTAGGCCAAAGATAAGAGGATAAAGTGAGGGAAGATATTGCTTTGTCCCAGTTAGTGAGAAGGTGTTCCATAAAGATTAGAAGAGATTACATGATTGTTTTTCACTGTATGTGGATTTATATCATGTGCTGACTATTTGCTATATATGTACCTGCTATATATGTACCTTGGGAGGCTAAAGAAGCTGAAGATGTGGACCAAAGTCTCAGGATTCTGAGATTGGACAGTACAGGTAGAGTTCTGAAAGGTAACTGAAAGCCCAATGTGTTTCATGAGAGACAGGCTGGAGATTGCTTCTACAGGGCTATGTTTATGGCCTGCATATCAAACCAGAGATAGCAGTGACACCATACACACTTACCACTAACGACATAGGATGTGTTGAAGAGATAGGCTCTACATTAGAAGAAGAAGAGGAGGACGATGATGAAGAATTGGATGCAGTTGATGACACCGAGTTTCCTTCAGAGATTCTTTTCCTTTTGCGCTTGGGAGCAACGCTGTCTTTTTCTGCATAGGGAAAAAGAAGTAAGTGCACCGCCACCTATAATAAAATTGATGCTTAAAGTGTAATTCCACTTTTGCAGCCATGCTGGAATATCACCTACTTTATATTTGTTATATGTTCCCATACACATAGCATAACTTGAAATATTGAAACATTTCTACTTATATTTTTAAGTTTACTCTTGCTTAAAAATCCTACCTAGCTTCCACCCCTATGTAATATTAGGCTGTAGGAAGTTATATTTACTCTAGTCAACCCTGTCTGCATTGTGCTGGCAGATCTCATTATCAGTTGTAAACTAGATTTGAACACTGCCTGTCCTAAGGGTTAAAGACCTAACTGCTCAGAGCACCCTGGAATGTACACAAAGGCCTTCACCAAAGAAACATTTAAAACATAAGATATATATTTTTAAAAATTATTTTTAGGTATTCTATGTGAATGGGAACACAGAACATACATATAGTGGAGTTTTCTCAAATTGTGCTGCAAAAGTGGAAATAAACTTTAAAGTCTGGTCAAACCAGATGATTAACCAACTGCCTTTTTAAAAAAAAAAAAATACAATTACCCAGGAAATGAGTAAACGGGGTAGAGCTAAAAGCATATGGGGTATACTGCACTGCTTTCCTATTCCTAGATATGCTGATCTTCACAATAATCTCTTGAATCTCCGATCTTTATATTCACTGAATGAATGAAAGCAAGCAACCCTTATGATCACTCATTACCAGCAAAGGGGTGAGTCACATGTCCTCCTATACCCAGAGGTACCTGACATCTCACCTCACTTGGGCTCAAATGGAACAGTGGAGGAAGGAAATGGCTGTGCAGCTAAGTGAAACTGTTGCTTTGTGAATCTACAGTAAATAAGAGTAATTCTGCATATCAACTGAAAAATATGGTGTTCCTGTGCAAGCATATAACATGAGTTATAATTATGAACAGATTGAGCCCATTACAGATTTTACTCACGTATTTGTGGTGCTGGGTCAATACAGAGTTCTGAAAAAGGCCTATTAGAAAATAAGAATAGGTTTGATTAAGCTACAGTTACCTCACAGACATCTGAAATTCGTGGTGGACAAGACAGCATAATACTTTCCAGCGACTACAGACTTAAAGTGTTAATAGGAATTAGATGAAGTTCATCCGGTACTAATCTTGGTTAGATCAAGGACAATGGTACTAATGCAGATCAAGGACAATGACACTGCATTTGGTATAAACAAATGAAATAAAAAATGTGAGTAGAACTGTGACCTCCCGTTAAAAAAATATATATGTGCAGCACTTAATCCATTAGTGCAACTGGGCTTACCGTTTTCCCTTAAACCCCCTACAACGTTTTACAAATTCCTGTTTATCCTGCCAGAGACAAGGCTGCTGCTCTGCTCCTGAATTAAAAGCAGCATTGTCCTTCATGTAGGCTGTGCCAAATTGCACTACAGTGGGATGAGAAGATGTTGCAGGAGGTGTGTTTATTAGCATTGTATTAACTGATTCATAAATCTGCAGATTCCCAATCCGCATCTGGCCACACCTAGTCCTTCCCACTGCTCTCCGGATTGGCAGAACTGTTGCTGAAACCCTCACTTTTGGCTGAAGTGTCTGGGAGGGGGAGCGTGTGAGACACAAATGAAGAAGGGTTTGGCTGACTCAAAAGAAGTAAAGATGTTTTTTTTATTTTTAAATCAGAATAGTAACTGCATCATATAGTAACTGTTTGGACTGCCATACAGGAGCCTTTAGATGTATTTAAAGACAGAAGCTCTGCCATCTCTATTCCAACCAATGGTTATAAGGAATTAATCTATGCCATCACCACCTTACTTTTAGGGACAGAGACCAGACCCTTGTGTTTTCTTCTTGTTTGATTATATCTGGTTTATTTTAGGGTGGCTCGCTCAAATATTTCTAAAAACTGAAACTCAGATTAATAAAATAGGACAGTGAGTGCAAAAGTCAATGATGATCTAGAAACTGACATGAACCACAGCAAGGGATCAAAAGGGTCTTTTATATAGGATGTTCACAATGGCATTGGGTAGGCCTTGATTCAGAAACCCTGTGGAAGCACTCCTTGGTAAACCATCTTGGGCCTGCAACAAGTACCAATCCAAACTTGTCACTTATATCCTCACTGCTGCCTGGAGGACCATAGCTAGTGTATGGAACTCACCTTCTATACATTTTAGGGCATTTAAAAATAGGGTCAACTGAGCTATATTTTTCGAGGAACTGACTGCCCTACAGGAGGATAAGCTGGGCCAATTTAATACTATCTGGTTTTCATGGATAGACAAATTCTTGCCTCCTACTTTTTGACGTAAAGCGGCTTCCCTACCCCACAGGAATGGCATCGTAGCCCACTTTCTCTCCCTCTTTCTTATACTAGCTTGCTTCTTCCCCTCTGTTTCGGAATCTTATTCTAAGTCCTAGGTGCTCTCATTCTTCTCTTTCTCTCCCTTCTTCCTTTTTTTTCTTATCTTTACTCCCTTTACATTGAGCTCCTACCATATACACTACTCTACCATGTTAATGTGTTGTCACCTAATTTCATTCTGTGTTTCTAAGGACTAGTACATGTTCAGCCTGGCTTTCTCTCAAGCTATAGTCTGCTGTAACAGATCTAGAATATAATACTTCATATAATTCTATAGATTCCATTTGATCTCATCAACTCTTCGTAAATTGCCAAGCCACATGTCCTAAAAACTGTCAGCTTGTTGTTATGATATGATGCTATTTAGGCAGTTTGTATGATGTCATGGCCTCGAAGGGCATCTTTATGCATTCTGCTTATTTATTTATTCTTGTGATTAACCTCAATAAAAAGATGTGAACGAAAATGTATCTTTTACTATACCTGTCATTAAACATTTGGAATGTGACTGATTGCTCCGGGTTACTACATTTTACATTATTGCTTCTTCCGCCCCCTTACTGAATAAGCCTAAATGATTTACTAATAGCCTTAAAGCCAAAAAATGGTACTTCAATACCATATGGGAGTTAAGGGACTGAATCATTTGCAGGCTTCATATATTTCCCATGTCTGAGATAACATTTCACCACAGTAGTTTGTGTCTCCATGTCCTCCCCCAAAGCTAGAACCTAGAAGTCCTTCTCTCTCTCAGCTGGATTCCCAAATTTTCATTATACATTGTGCAGAATTCACAGTTGGAATGTGACATCATCATATACTATTTGGGCCGGACTGGCAACTGTGGCGGTAATAGGTCAACAGTGGAATTCCAGAGAGATATAGAAAGCCAGCATGAAATTAGGTGAGCCAGAAACAACACAAAACCAAAATATATATTTTTTGCTGGAGTTGAAGCCTGTTGGAAACACAAGCTGCTTGGTAGTCTACATCTTATAGATTACATTGGCTCAGTTTGTCCCAAATGTCTTTGTCCATCATTGTGTTAGAACACCAACACCTTATGGAAACAGACCCTAAAATCTATCCTGTAGTGTTAATATTGTCGATTAATAATTTCCGTCTTAGTTTTCCTCAACACTTTTTTAGCGACTAAAACTAAATAAAAACGAAGTTATGATGACAACAACTATAACGAAAATATACTGACATTTTAGTTGACTAACTAAAACTAGACTAAAATGTTAGGGAGAGACAATTTGGGAAGACATCCAATCAGACCTAATCTCTATGGACTTCCAGTTCCATCTTGAATGGATGGCTAATAGGTCATATGTGCAAAGGTATTACAGCCAATATAGTTTTTCATTTTAATATTTTAGAGTTGCACTTCTGCTTTAAAGAATGAAGAATGTCATATGCAAATTGTTATAATCAATGCATATCTAATTACTGGTCCTTGTTTGAAAATACTCAATATTATTGTTTCTTTATAAGACTTGCTTTAATCTAATTTTAAGATAAATAAAAAAATGTATCGCAACAGTTAAATCTGTGTTTTTATTGCATGTTCAAACCTTAATACCATAAGTTGTAACAGGTTAACAGATTTTTACTCCAGGAGTATCTAATGAGATTGAAAATTCGAGAGAAATTCTTAAATTACTCTTTAACTAAACCCACTAGATTTTAGTTGACTAAAATCTTATAGTATTTAGTTGACTAAAATCTTATGATAATTAGTCGACTAAAACAATTCAGATGACTAAAATATGACTAAAACTAAATGGCATGTTAGTCAAAAGACTATGACTAAAAATACATCGAAATTTGCTGTCAAAATGAACACTGCTATCCTGCAAAGGACAGAACACCAAATGACTCTATTGCATAACATGAAGAACTATTCATTATTTTACACTGTCCAGGATACTTACTGCAACTGATTTATTATCACCATATGAATATTCTCTCGTGCCGTTAGGATTTTTTCCAACCGATTTATGTCATACGTATTTGGATTCCTAAAGGGGATGTCATTTGGCAGTCCAGTGACTTCTATAGAGTCAGGGTTATCCCTGATTAATTTGTAGGGTACAAGTACTGGCCGACCCAATCCCAGAGCTTCGCCTGCACCAAGAGCACAGTTGTCAGATTTACTAATACATTTCCAAAACCAAGAAAATTGTTAATGAAAAGAAACAACTAAACATGTATACAGCATCACAAACCAGTGTAAGAATACCACTCTGGGGATCCATTAGAGAAAACCTGCAATGCTTAAGTGACCTCTTTCTAAAAATGCTACTTGCCCAGCTGTCTCAATATTCTATTTCCTAAGTTACTGCCCTGGAACAAGCATGCAGCAAGTGAACTTACTTTGAAGTCTGAATGATTTATCTGTATTTTTGTCCAGGTCAGTGAAAACAAGGGATCGGCACTGGTAACCTTCTTTTTTTTGCTTACTACAGAATTTCTTTAAGCAATAGTTGTAAATTATCTAAAATGTGGTTCTCCTATCCACCTTTTAAGGTATTCACATCCCTTTTATGTATCTATTATTACTTTATATTGAAGAATAGAGACTTTCACAGTACCTGTTATAGCAAATCATTCTTAAGTACAATGCAATGTTCTTTTGAGGAATGCTTGAGTTTGACAAAGAAATGTATCCCAATGAATGGGGTATAAGGAAAGGGATATGGTTCACTAATACTATGGGGTTGATTTACTAAATAGGGTCTCCACTTGCAAGGGAATTTTCCTGTAGCTTAGTTAATGTTGTGAAAATTCACTTTGCAAAGAATACCCAATCCTGTGCAAGTAAAATAAAATAAAAAGTAATTTTGCTTGTACGTGATTGGATGATGGAAGTCAGCAGAGCAAAATAATAAAGATAGTAAAGGTAACATAAAAAAAGAAATCTGTTTTAATGTGTTCATACAATTGTAGCAATGCTTGTAAATACCTGGTCCAATGTAAGATCCTATTCTCCAAAAATAAAAGGCGTAAGATTTGTCTGCTGGTTTACATTGTTAATACTCACCATATTTTTCATTGAAGAGTTCCTTAACTTGCTCACGTAGGATAACTTTTTCGCCTAATCTGTTTGCATCTTCATCATCTGTGAGAAAAAAACATGAATATTTATGTCTAATTATGCAATTGTTACTACATGTCAGATATCTATTTTTTTTTTTCTGTTGAAACAGTTTTTACACAGAAGAGCAGAAGCACCATTGGGCATCTTATATAATCAACTGCAAATATATACAAAATATATTCGGACAATAGGCTAAAATCACAACTCAAACACAAAAGATAAGGTTCCTTATTTTCAAAAAGTGATAGATATTTTTTAGCTGAGATTTAAATATTACAGTCACATGGCTGAAAATACAGATATTTTCAAAACAATTCATCCCCACACAGCTCCCTCCTCATGTATCACTTCTCCCTCCATTTTAGATTGTAAGCCCTCAGGGGCAGGGCCCTCCTTACCATCTTGTCTTGAATTGTATTGTGATTGTAATGTCATCCTTACATTGTAAAGCGCTGCGCAAACTGTTGGCGCTATATAAATCCTATGTAATAATAATAATATTGAACCTAATGTATAAAATTATAAGAACAGATTACCAATGTAGTAAAATTAAAATCTAAATGTGTAAATGTCACTAATTAAAAAAAAGTCTCTGGATAGTATGATTGTAACAAAATATAAAATAAAGCAAATGTAAAAAAAAACAGAAGCAAATATCTTACCAGGTCTGGGGATTAGTCCCTGAAATGGCCTGAAATATGAGCAAATCAAAATGTCACAATGGTTATCATTTATTTACTATACAGAGCTTCAAAATGATGTATTTAATAGCAGATTCGGCTATTTGTTTAACAGGCAATTGTAGGTCCATGCATGTACCTTGCCACTGTGAATTTGATTTTGTCTGCTACAGCTAATATCCGCTCTAGATTCTGTGATCCAAAAGTACAGGGTTTACGGAATGGGATCCCTGGAGGCAAGCCTTCTATTATGACAGAGCCAGGATTGCTCTTGATGCGCTTATAGGGTACTTGTACTGGGTATTTGATCCCAAGAGCTTCACCTGCCAATAAAACATACACACACAAACTGTCATTGATGTCTTCTGGTAAATAAACTGTTCTACATGCACTCATGTCTTCATAGTGAACTATGAATACGAATGAACAAATCCTTTTTCATTATACAACAAACCAAATATTCTTTATATTTGTTCATAAATTTTAGGTCGCTGTTAGTAAACAGCATTAGGTAAAATAAATGCATTATTGATTATACAAAATGCATTAATAATAGGATCTAAAGCCGTGGCTCTCAACTGGTGGATCGCGACCCAAAAGTAGGTAGCAATGCTGTGTTCAGTGCGTCACTGCCTGCCTTCCACTGCACGAGGTGAAAGGCTCCTCAGCCTCCCCCTAACGCAGCACTGTCAGGTATCACACTGAGCAGTCATTCAAAATATGCTGCCCGGAGCCGGGTGTCAGCTTGAGGTGGGGTGGGCTGGGGCTATGTCCGCGAGGGAGATCCATCCATACGTGCATTGCTTACAGCTCCCCCGCGTGCCTTGTAGAGGTGCTTGGACTGGAACAATGTCACATTCTGGTTTCAGCCACCTCTACAGGGCGCAAGGGAGCTGAACAAGCAATGCACATGTGCATGGAGCTCCGTCACAGCACAGCTGCCCACACTGGACCCCAGGCTGAGGATCCAATGCAGTTCTCATAAGGTAGGGAGAATGGGTGGATCTTAAAAAATAAGGAAATAAAATAAAATACATTTCTTGGAGTGTGTATGTGTGTGAGAATGTCTGTGAGTAGGTGAGATTGTGTCTGTGGTTGTGTGAGTCTGTCAGTGTTTTTGAGGGCCCGTTTACATTAGTACAGTGCGTTAATTGCACAATCCCATGTGATTGATGCAATCCCAGCGATCGCGCGTTTTGGTGAGGGTGTTGCGTTGCATTGCGTTTCACAGCAGTGTTTGTAAACACTCACCATACTTTTTATTGAACAGGTCTTGTACTTGTTCACGTAGAGTGTTGGCAATATCTATCCGTGACAATCTGGCATCATAATTCTCTAGAAGGAAAAGGAGATCATTATCTTAAATTACGTTGATAAAACTGATGAGTGCAAAATATTTTTTTCTGTAGTCTGTATTGGCCTCTAATACTTAAATTGTCTGTCTGACAAAATGTTTGTTTTAGTTTCAGATAGCTTTGGGAAGGGTTAGTGCCCATGTCTGGTTTTCACTGCTATCCAGGGCTCTCATATGGTCAGTGTCCACGGATGTTTGTTCGCTTCAGCACTAGTTCTCTCCCCATACAAATCTATGGGAATGCAAGGGCAGCTTATGCAGGGCAACTGCCTTACCATGAATTCTGAATGATCTCAGAAGCATCTCAAACTGAAGGCACAAAATCACACTGTATTTGCCCAATAAAGCATGTCAACAAAAGCCCTTAAAGACATTTCCCCTCAGTTTCTCCCCTGGTAACAACAGTCAGTTTCAATAAACCGGAAGTGAGGTAAAATCTGTAACAGCAACACAAACAGAAATAAAAATACATCAGATAGCACTGACTCCATGGAGCCATTAGGTCATCCACTGCTTCCGCCAGCAGGTCCCAATACAAACCTGTCTAGGCTGGTTTTGAATCTGAACACCCACATCCAGTGTCCCCACCTGCTAAAACAGTTACTGGAACACCTCTGGGTGGAGAGACCACACTACCGGGTCTAGACACTGTTGGCTGAGAAAATCTGCTGCTAATTGTTCACACTGGGGATCTATATAGCTGAAAGAGCTGAAACATGATGTTCCATCCAAAACACAACCTGCTCTATCTCTGTTGCCACAGCAAGGCTTCTAATTTCTCCCCGTTGACTGATGTCACTACTGTTAGGGATTAGGATCAGGTGACCTTTCAACAGGCCAGTCCAACATTAAACCGACAGCCAAATCAACTGAAGCTCCAAGATGTTGATTGGGAAATGAAATTCCACCAATGATAAGTCTCCTGCATCAACACAGTACCCTGGACTCCAACCCCCACCATGACAGGCTGCTGTCCTTCGCCAGGAGTTTCCAGAACACGAGAAGTAAAGGGAAGCATAGAGTTGGGCCGCTCAGGCCTGGAGTGCTTGAACTTGAGACTGTGGAGTTCTCTTGAGGAAGATACACTCTGGTCCGGTAAGTATCCAGGACTACTTCCAGATTATCCAAGCAACCGGTAATGACTTCTGGAGATTTACGATCCATCTGAACCTTTGTGACTTCTGGACAGTTAGAAACACAATATCCTCCAGAGCAGGGGTGGCAAACTCAAATTCATCGGGGGCCGCATCAGCAGTATGGTTACCCTCAAAGGGACGGTTGTATAGGACTATGCATCTACTCACAAGTGCCCATCTCTGCACCTCTGGATGATGACTATACATCCTTATCACACGTTTATATCCTTCACAAACTGTTTCCTCAAGAGGGGGTTGTTCAAGTAGCCCACTATCAAAATACCTCGAGAGAATATGAGGGCCACTGTTGGAGCCAGCACCTTGGTGAACATTCCAGGTACAGTGGACAGACCAAATTGAAGGGCTATGAACTTGAAGTGCAGAGACTCCACTACAAAGCGCAGAAAAAGCTGATGTGCTGGAAAGATGGCTATGTATAAATAGACATTTTTGTCCAGTGAGGCCAGAAACTCCACCTAATGAAGGGAAGCAACAACAGATGATTCCATCCAGAATCTTTGGGTGAGGGCATTTGCAGCCTCTGCAATCAGAAATCAGATGGGTAATAACATAGGACATAAACTCCTGCATAACAGAAGTAAAGACCTCTGCCAAAAGGGCAGTGGGGCTAACAACACCCGATGAAGTCAAGAAGACTTCGACGAGGGCATAGACGCTAACACCAGAAGGCAGCAGGATTTCAGGTCATGTGTCACTATCAAGGTGATGCTGCTAGCAGTCCCTGAAACGTTAGTGGACATTGTGCTGGGGGCACCTGGTACAGTGGGGCTGTCTTTCCTGTTTCTAGAATCAGACATGGTAAAGCTTCAACATACAGGCTCCTGGACAAATGGTAGTTGGCAGATGTGCTCAAGACTGAAGGGTCAGCGGCCTGAGGTGACTAAGCCTCACTGCAGGCAGCAGGAAAAAATTAAGAATTGCAGTTCCACATGAATCATGCAGCAGAAGTAGCATCAGGGAATTGTTTCCATAGTGCTGACTGGCGGGTAAGACATCTTTGTGCATAGCAACTAAAAAAACAAGGGAGCTCCCAGTGCCTGGCTCTCATGGTCTACTCAGGAGAGTGAGTCTTCACAGACAGGGCAAGCAATGCCAGCAGCTCTGGACATGGAAACAGCTAACACAGACAGAACCAGTCTGGAAGGAATTCAAGCAGAACATAACGCCCAAAGACCACTTCCAGGCTTACCCCGCAACTTCTGGTCACAGCGAAGGTCCAGAAGCCAAGGCTGAGGACCACTGCGCCGGACAGCTGCATAGAAAGTGGGGAGACCACCTGAGCTACAGGGTAAAGATTCTTGACTGAAGAGTAAATGTTGCTAGAAACAAATCACAGGTTAACTTTTGAATCAGCGGTGCTTAAAGAAAGGCATCCATGCTTCTAGGACACTAGGTATGCTGGTAGTAGGACTTAGAGACCATTGTAGTCATCATTCCTCAGGAAAGGTAAGTTTATGTTATGGGGTCATGTAATTTAATTTTTTTATTTTATTCTATTCAGGGTTGCTTTAAAGTAATTTGTGATGTGACTTTAACATTTTTACATGCTCGATCGTCCATATTTTTCTTTATGGCAGAAATCTGTAGGTTAGACACCCAGGGCTTGGCAACAGGTTTTTTGTTTACCAGTGTGCTATCCTCCTGTAGGCAGCAGTACAACCCAAAGGTTTCAGAATTCCTGTATCCCTCAATAGAGAAGAGAAAAAAGTTTTAGCTAGACTTACACTTTAACCTAGGTTTGGGCTTTTTTTAATTCCCCTAACCCTGATTAGGCAATTAAAGTGAACCAGGCTAAGGGGAATTTTGCTCCTTTGTAAATTGACCTCCTGGCTTCTTTCAGTAATGCTTAACTCATACTGATATTGTTTCATTCTTTTCTGGATCTCCAGTATACCACAGTCCTGGAAGAGACAGATCACATAATAGTATATTCATATACTGTATACCAATCAGGACTTTCTGCAAATGTATCCCTGGGTATAATACCTTCATTCTTACCTCTCTTTTTATAGCGTCAATAACAGATCATGATTCCTTAGTTCAAAATGTAAGAGGCTCTGTTTACTGTACAGCAATTACAAGAAATGTTGTACCTATCTTTTAGCTATGTAAATATAATGGTTCTTACCTTGGAAAGTAGGCCTATTAGTAGATTCATCTGATAGGGAATTGTGACAATCTTTATCACTGACTCCTGAAATGATTGATCAGACATTAGAATTGCTGCATACTGGTAAAACATTCATGGTGCAGCGATGATGAAATGTGGTAACCCATAGCAACTAATTTGACTTCTAATTCTCTAGTTGAGAAATTTAAGGGACTATTTATGATTTGTTGCCATGAGTTACTGTAATTTAAACATCAAGATTACATTTTGAATTGCCATGTTAAAAAAGAAAAAAAGAGAGTTTGTTTTGAAGTTCAGCGAGTCATAAAAACTGCCAGCTTTCTTTTTTTAATCAGCAAAGAACATTCAGAACAAAGTAAGATATTTTTGGTTTGAATAAGTTAAATTACGGTACTTTGAAATTGCTTTTGCATTGGCTTGTTCCTACATAAAACCACATTTAAACATGAAAAAGATTACATTTTGGTAACTGTTGTGTCTTTATAGTATTAGCGTTTTCCCTGAACACATAATGAGTTATTTTTACAGTTTTTATTTTAAAGCAACCCTGTTGCTAGACTAAAAAAAGTAATTTACGTGCAGTGGGTAAAAGGAGAATACGTACCTTTTGCAACTCCAACGTCCAGAGCTAACGCTGCTCTCATGGTGCTTTGTGTGTCAGATTCTTGGTCCCTCACTGTACAGCATGGTTTCACCTACTGGCCAATATGTCACTGAACAACACAACAGTGACGCAGCAGCCGGTGGAACCACAGTGCACAGTGGGAAATCAGGCAAGCGATACACACCTTAAGTCAGATACAAGCAGCCTCTGAGGCTGTGCAAGACCGTGAAGATTGTACTAATTGCCCTGCAGGAAAGGTAAGTATAATTCTTTTACAGAGTGCATTCAATGCAGTTTTTTTAGTCCAGTGACAGGGTCGCTTTAAAGTTATTCATGATGTGACTTACACATTTACTTCCTTGCTCTAAAATATTTGTGTCTATTATAGAAATGTGTAGATAAGACATTGGAAGCATTGTAGATTAGCTGCTACAATGCCTCTGCCAAACCTCTTACAACTATTGAGATAAGATTTGAGCCATCCAGGGAATGCGGTGCTTTCAATGACCTGGCCCACTTATAGACTTCATTGTATGAAGGAACAGCAAAGCACAATTGTTGTATAGCATTGCAAAGCAAGAAACAAAGCCTGAATAAGTAAGGAGCAATTTTATTTTAAAGATAACCCAGTATGAATTAAGGCTGTAAGCTAAATCAAATTTCTCATGAAAAAAGGCATTTCTTTCATGTAAGTAAAATAATCTCATCTTAGTGGAACTGATTTTTAAAAAAATGAAGCACAGAAAGCTTTTAGCACCAATAACCTGTTGAATTCAATGAAAAG